AAAAACCCGGGAATTCTTCCCTATAAGATAGGAACCGCAAGAATAAAAGTAAAACAACATTCCTTTATTCACTATTACGATCTTGACCCAGTTAAATTAGAAATTGAAAAAATAAGAAATATTTATGACAATATTTCTATCAGCATGCAAAAACATGAATACCTTTTCGAACTTTCAAACTTCGATCAAACGGTAAACTTTCAATTAATTTCGGCAGAACAAAAACTAAACTTTCTCCGCCCACAATATAAAGACAAACGTGGTATAATTAACGGCTTAGGTACGATAATAAAAAGTATTACGGGAAACCTAGACGCAAACGACGCAATTTTCTACAATAAAGCAATATCTAACCTGCAAAATGGACAAATTGAAGTTATTAGTAAGTTAAACAAGGAAATCTCTATCACCACAAAAGTAATTCAAAATTATAATCGAACTGTTTCATTGATAAAACATAATCAAGAAGTAATATATAAGGAAATGAATTTAGTGATTCAAACACTCAATGCGACTATTGTTAATTTTAGCGATTTCCTAAAAGCTCGAAATGTTTTAGATAAAATTAACTTTACATTAAACACCGTTTTGCAACTGCTTTCTGATATCGAAAACGCTATAACATTTGCTCGATTAAAAACTGTTCACAGTAGCATCTTAAAGATCGAAGAGCTCGAATCAATAATTAAAACTATATTAAAGTATTATACACCAGATAACTTACTTTTTACAGACTATACGGAAAACCTTTATAAATAGAAAGCAGAAGCGTATTTTTCAGATAACAAAATCGTTTTCGTTTTACACTTCCCAATTATTCACCCCCAAGATTTCGACTACTCTCACCTATATTCCATCCCTAAGAAAATTCCACAACGATTATTCCAAGTAATACCTATCTGATAATGAACGAAAACATCTACCAATATATGTCCACGCCATGCAGAAAGCTGCACCCCAACTTCTACTGTTCCAAAGTAGAATTGATAAATGGAAACAACCCAGAAGACTGCATTCATCAAATCCTAAGATTAAAATCGACTTACATCAATTGTAAACAAACGTCTATCGAAATTACGGAAAGCATTATTCAGCAAATCGATGATGCGAATTATATATTGATACTCTTAAACCATACTAAAATAAAAACAATTTGCCAAAAAACGGACTTCACAACCATAAAAGGAAATTATCTAATCCACCTGCCACCCGGATGCCGATTTGAAACCGATGATCGTTTCTATATTAACGAGAAACAAAACATCGATGGTCAACTCCTGCTGTTGCCTGAAATCAATATTCCTTCAATTACGTCGGACACAAATTTAACAAAGGTTATAATCAAAGATGTGTCATTGGACGAAATCCACCAGCTTCAGAAACAGCAATCAAGCCTCCGACCAGTGGACCTGTCACCGATCGAAGATTGATCAACAAATCATTATTGGACAATACCGATTTACATCGTGCTGTCCCTAGTAACAGTTTATCTGGTTTTCAAAAAAATCAGAAAGGAACGATCCACCAGAAGAAGAAGACCTTCCGAAGAGAAGCGAGACCCCAAGCCTGACGCCTTTTTCACCCCCTAGAGATAGAAGCCCCCTTTAGGGATGGAGGAGTTATACATCCCAACGTGACGCTAATGTATTTAATTAGCCCTGAGTTAGCACAAACCCAACGGCAAGATGCGCTTATCAGTGTTGCGTCTACAACTACATCCCATTCTTCAACGTAATATTTTCTATTGTAAAACAGTCAGTCTTGTCTATGAAATCGATGTAACCAGTCGACTAATTAAGTCATTAAAATACAATTGTAATTTTGGTGTTTTTTAAAAACGGTTTTCGGCATCCGAGGTGCTTAAGTCGCGCGAGTATTTCGCTGAATCGTATCGATTAACTTACGTGTTGCTACGTGCGACTCCCTAGGCACCGGAGCTAAATCAAAAAGATTTTTCATATGATTATGAATTAACATTTTTTTGTTTTCAAAACGCCCTTTTAAAAGTTCAATCGCGACGTCATAATTAGTTTCGCTTAGCTCTAATGAGTGTAAGAGTTGCGCTGCCTCACCTTTTAAATATGACTGCAAATAGTAGAATTTTTGAACATTTGACAAATCGATTCTGTTATGTATGACTGACTCATAGATTTTGAAAAATGGTATCCAACCCTCGTAAGAACCCGAAAAAAATGGAACATTCATTGTTGGTAAATTTGGAAGTACATTATTAGAATTGCTTGCTTGTTGAATTGGACTTTTGGTTTGTCTGTTTGCCATCGCAAGCTTAGTGACTCTGTCATTGTATAAGCTTTAGAAACTACCCTGAAATTTCTTCAAATAGTATTTCTAATTCTGATTGATTTTTATCAAACTCTTCCCATGTTTCTTCTATCTTTTTTAGGCGTAATTTTAATTCGGACAAAGATGTTTCTTGTTGCTCAAATTGGGAAATTCGCGACTAGAATTTTGTTAGCCTAGCTTTTAGCATACCCCTTTTATTTATGAGAGATTTCGCGTTTACTGAATCGTTAGCTTCCGTCATTTTTCTCGAAATTTAATACTGCGCACGTACAAACCCGAATGACAAACTAGGAAAAACTAACTAATAAATTGAAAATATTCGAGAGTAAAATGGAATTTTTGGAAAATGGAATGGACCTACTTGCTCTTTGTCGACACCTGCCGTCGGCTGGTTGCCAACCGCTGTACTCGCTTCAATTCTTTTCGACGTCCTTTCGCAGGAACCTTTAATGGTTGTCTTCTCCACTCGCTGGGACTAGAAGACTTCTAAACGATATTTCAATCCGGCTCGAAGGACCAAAAATGGTGGGTTTTAACGTAGGTTCACGTTATTTGCTGCGCTGATTCTTGTTCGATTGAGTGGACCGTATTTTTCGATAACTTTATTTTTTAGTTTTACAACTTAACAAACTTTTACAACTAGCAAAAAAGGGGGAAAAAACATATGAAAATGAATAACGAAGCTTAACGTTTGCTAGCACGGGTTGTAATGCCGAGACCCAGCGTCCCGCGGTCTATCTTAAGTGTCGGCAGCGCCGATCTCTTTTTTGCAGGCAACCTTTTTTTTACGGTGCTCGCGATGTTGCCGTTGCTGGGCAGTTTTGAAGATTGACCATCAGTGTTCGAAGTGTTTTCGGAGCGCGAGAATTGAAGATGCCAAGTGAGATTTTGGCGAAACGTCTGCAGGATTCCAGTCGGATGCAGGATTCCAGTCGGAGTTCAACAAGCGAACGGATGATATCCCGGAATATAGTGTCATCACATTTTTCCATCCGTGAATCAATACGTGAGAATATATATATATATATATATATATATATATATATATATATATATATATATATATATATATATATATATATATATATATATATATATATATATATATATATATATATATATATATATATATATATATATATATATATATATATATATATATATATATATATATATATATATATCATATCTCTATTAAAATTACTACTTGCTACTACATTGCATTTCGTGGCATTAAAAATAATATTATATCTATCAATACAAGTAGATTTTATTTGGGAGCATATTTGCAATTTTTTATATTGTTTTTGAAAAAATTAATGTTGTACTAAAAAAGGGATTAAACAAAAAATGCTTGTGAATCAGATAATCGGTTGCTGGAAAACCGCTGAGTTTCCAAAAAAAGCCATGGCGGTCACGTTTTTCAAAATGGCGCCTGAAGCTGTGGTATTTTTCGCGTACTTCATTAAAGCTGAAAAATAAATGTTTGAAAACACTTCGCTCCAAAAATAACATTTCCCTAGCCTAATTAAGATATTACTTTTTTTTAAAACGAAAGAAACCCCTTGCCTCTCTTTATTTGATAACATCGCTAATAAAGCTGATAAACGTTCCTTATGTAACTACTTCCTGGAACTCTCAGAATAAATGGCGTAATTCGATATTTGTTGAAATTTAAAACCGTGTAAATTTTTTATTTTGACTAAAATTCATTTGGTTTTTTTTTATTCATTCAATAAAATTATTTTGGAGGATCATAATTTTCAAATATTTTGGCATTTTCAATCATTTATAAATTTGTCTGTTGTAGTAACTTATTGAAAATGATAAACACGACAGGACTCTACACCGGAATTTTGAAAAGCAATCATAATCTTCCGATTTCGAAAAATCCCTTTATAATAATTTAAGTGACAAAAAATTACAAAAATGTGCCGACATTGCATTCAACAATATGGCAATCACCTTGAGTGTCACCTTCAAACATTCATTGCTCCTTAAATTGTTTTTTTTATTTTCTAAAGTAAATTTTGTGTAACTTTTAGGCAAGATTAAATTATTTTTCAACAAAATTGACTTAAAAACTGTAATTAGATATGAACTTTGCAGCTGAACTTAATGTTAGTGAATATCATAAAATGATTATTTATTTAATTTAGATTTTTTACTATCAAGTTGTTTGGCGGGCGCTTAAGAACACACTTGGTGGGTAAATAGATAAGTTCGTTACTCAAATGTTTTATTAATTGGACTGGATTTTTTATATAATTGTTGTCGTAATATTTTTAAGTATTTAAAAAAAAACACATTTTTTACTAAAGTTTTTAAACATAATTCCACACTTGCTTTTGTGTGCTTTTAGTCATAAGGTTTACTTGTTGTAATAAACTTAGAAATAAAGACAAAACCGAAATTAGTATCAACCGAAATTGTTATTTTAAATAATTTATTTAATTCCAATGTATATGTCTCAAACTTCCTTCTGATAATATTATTTCATTTCAATACGAAAATATGTTATTTACCTGTGATAGTAATGTCGGGGTTGGATTAAGTTTATAATAATTAATGATATCATTCTTTGCCTATCGTAATTTTTTGTTATCAGATATTTTTTCGAAAAATATGCGGGGATTAACTGCCAATTTATTATCCTTTAAATACAGCTTGTTTCGAGATTTGTTGAAAAGTTTTCATTAATTCGTCGATCATTTATTGAATGAAAAGGTTCCGAACGGAATCTGGCATTCTTTGACATGGTCTTTTGGTTAGCCTTTATAGTTTTTCTTAGTGTAGTGAGTTCTGGATACAGTAATGCAGACCAACGTAGGTAGATTATTTTTCAGTTCAGTTTGTAACTAATGTAGATTATACTAGCTGGTCGTATAAACTACGTCATAAATGACAAATAACAATAACAACAAAAAACATACAAATTCTGCACGAAGACCATTTTTAATTCCTGTGTTTTATGATAGTAAAATGGCACATGCCTTGCTTAACCCTAAAATAATATTAAAATTGTCTCCATTTTATTGCAAAATATATTAATTAGAACGTCTTTCGAAACTCAGCGGAACTTATAATTACGAACGGTCATATATCTAAATATACCTCTTCAAATAAGGTCATGCATAAATAACCCCATATCTCGTACATTTGCGGATCTCAAAATCAGTTAATTGGCAGATAATCACTGGGAGCATCAGGCTACTCCTTAGCACTCCGAAGAACTAACCAAAGCTAACCGAAACTATTCAAAATCATTTTATTTCATTTCATTACCCACCAATTCATTCAAACTTTTTTACGTTTTCTTACTAATTCCTTGACGCATGTTTGGATGAAACTATTTTTTTGATTTCTAATCAAAGCAGTATTCCTGGTTCTATTTATTCTAAAAAGTCTAATTTTCTATACGCCTCGTTTCTGATCCGTCGTACCTGGCCTGGTGGGTCGGAACAGTGGTTGTATTCACTAAATCGGTGTACTAAGATACTAATGAAGCCTTATATAATTTGATAAAATTTGTTGAAAATCTTTTAAATACGCAGTCTGTTGAAAAAAAAAGTAATTATTTTGACGTCCAAATAAGTTATTCTAACAGAGTAACGTGAGTAAAACTATGTAATCATAAAATTCACCTATTGACTAGGAAATCATTCTCAATCTTTGCCAGCTTATTACAACTTAATTTACCGAAATGTAAAGACATAACTTACAATCAGAAAAGCAAAGTATTGTAAAGTAAAGTATAGGCGTGTCGGAATTTGCATTCGTTGACCATATTAGTAAAATATTAGTAAAATATATATTATAAATATAAATATAAAAAGTATAAATAAAAATATTAGTAAAAGCAAAAATAAGCGGAAATTAATTCCATTAAATTTGTAAACTCGAATATGGTTCACTTCTTTGGTCTTGATAGGGTACGGAAAAGTTTATTAAAGTTTGCACATCTAAAATGAGAAGGGGAATATCGACCACAGCAAATTCCTTCTTCAAAAGTTCCCAATGAACTCCTTCCAACTTTATGCAGGACAGAGAAAGTGTGTCTCAAAGTGTATCGTCTTGACTTTTGACGGACCCTCCCCCAAAAAGCCATTACGAGCTATGCTATTAATATAAGGTAAATACATTTAGCAATAATGTATTCATAAGTGAGGGATAAGACAAGTCAGGTAGGTGTTGACCACGTGTCGGCTAATATATGTGGGATTGATGAAAAAGGCGATTTACCGTGCTTCTTAAGAGTATATAATTATTTTTTTAGTTATGTTGCTTTAAAATAAACCTGCCTACTTACAACAACTCCAATATTTTCGATAAACAGGGAATTATATAATGAAACTAGTGATTTTCAATCTCACCTTCAATACAATTATTAGCCGTGCCAATGTCCAAACAGTTATTTGTAAAATTTGATATACATACCAAAAATAGACAAAAATCTAGTGGTAATGGAATCGCACAGAGTGCGCACTTGGACATTTAATTACCTTTCGAAAATTAAAAAGTAAAGAACCGAAATCAGATGTATAATTTACCTACATGAAAGGATACACATGACACAATATCCAAAGGATGCTGATTCCAGTAACAACTGTCAAACCAAAAAAATATTCCGGAAAACATTGCCACTGTTATACACACACTACTATACTATCACAGGCCTGCTACGTAAAGCACCATAGTCATGTACAAAAACTGAAATTCCAGAATATTTGTTACCAAATGATATTTATTTTGAAATAGCAGTTTTTGGAAGTGTTAACATAATATTAATAGTTACCTGTTCAGAGTTATAAAATACAGCAGAAAACATTCTTACATTCGCAAAATAACATGACGACTCTGTACATAATGTACATAATGTACATAATATAATATTTAATATATATATAATATGTCCTATAATACTGGCTGGTCGGTATTTTATTGCCGTCGGCAGGTTATCTAGATAATTGCCATCAAAAGAAGATATCCTTTGAGACAAAGCATACTGTTATATAAAGGGATTCACAATATGTTAGATAACATATTAACAAATTAACAAATAATAGAAAAAGGCCCCTTTTATTTGCTTTAAATATTGGAGTGATTCGGAATGTAGTTCTGAAATGCGAAATGGTATATGTGTGAATAGTGTATGTCGACTTATAGTATTTCATAAAGGTTATTTATGTAAGTTTTGTTTTTGTTTTATAATAAAATGTCTACACTATTCATTGCTGTTCATTGTGATCTTTTTTTCGTGTAAAATAGTTTCTTTGCAAATACATAAAACAACAATACATAGATTTCGTTCCATCTAAGCCGTACCACCTCATAGGAAACGGTGTTACATAAAATTTCGCAAATAAAGGTACGCACGTAAATTTGTTTATTGATAACAAGCACTACGCACCAAATCGGTAATCTACTTAATCCACCATTAAAAGCTTAAAAATAAGCACTGATAACAGAGCCACAACAGCATAATGATTCCTGGATAAATAGTCACAAAATCAACCATTCCTCTGCGCTACTTGATGACCACGGAATAACTCCACAATACGTTAATCAATCATCGTCGTTTATTGATTTTATTTTTGTTACTCACTCAAACCATTTTTTTTTTTGGTATGAAAACTCTTTTTCTATGATGTTGATGATTTACAATGACACCAATGAGCGATTTTATTGAAACGATAGATTTTAACAATACTTTTAAATTTTTATTGCAGCCCCTTGTCCACAAGTTGATGGGCCAGATTCCATTTATTTTCCTGACGCCGATTGCACAAAATTTTGGCAATGTTCAAACGGAGTGGCTTACAGTAAAAATTGCTCTGGCGATCTACATTTCAATCCAGTTTTAAATGTGTGTGATTGGCCAGCGAGTGCAGGTTGCACGGGTAAAGGATGGGCTCCATCGACAACAACTCCTACGAGTACAACAACTAAAATTACTACAACGACGACATCTGCTCCCACAACAACGACGGAAGTTACGACGACGTCCACCACAACTACTCCAAAACCGACAACAACGACGACATCTACGACAACTACCCCCAAGTCAACAATAACATCAACTTTACCACCTACCACCACTACAAAGTCCACAACAACTTCAATTATTACGACGTCTACTATTCCCGCATCCACAACGACTCCTAGTCCAACAAATTCCGATGAAGGATCAGGTAAGCAAAATTGGAAAGTTCAACTGTGGCATCCAAAATAAACGACAAACCGACATAGCTTGGCTGAAACTCTCAAATTTTTTATACATATTCTTCCAAACTAGTCTTAGTTTTAGTACCTGAAAGGTATGCGACCTCTATAAAGTACCAATTTTTATTATACTTTCTCCTTTCTATTTTATGTTCTGAAGTTTGTGGAGAATGTATATTCCATGTTACTTTGTTTGATTTTCTTAAATTGCTAAATTCTAAAATAAGAACGATACTCTCAATAGCACTCAAGAAAAAGTTGAAATTACTAATATTTATTTTTAACATCATATTAAGTGGGCAGCTTTAAACGTAGCATAAAAATTTATGTTTGTTAATTTTTTTTTGTCCTAGTTTCCCTTTTAAACTATATTCCAGTCTCTTCGTTGTGCAGGCGATGCATATATTAAAGACCACCCCATATTTCATACTGGACTGAAAATGGAAAAAATATAGTTTTATGTATTTTTAACTAGTTTTAATTAAAATCACTTATTTATTAATAGCTAACACTTCAGATATCCAATTATATGTACAACTCGTTCAGATCAGATTGTTTTGCTTCAAACAAATTCAGTATTTGGATTATCTGAGTTAAGGATTAGCTTATTTTCGAGGACCCATTTAATTATTTTCATTTAGAGGCTTATGCAGTCACGATTTCAAAAATTTCATCTGCGTAGTTTATTATTTTTTGATTGAGTTATCTCATGGATGAATATTACAAACAATACAAGATCTAGTATACTTTTCTAAGTTACGTTATTGTTATTATGCAGTAAATTTTTCATAAGTCTGGTTTAATCCATTTGACGAGTTTAGCACTTTTATTAAGTTGAAAGTTTGATGCTGACCCTCTTTGTTCTCAGAAAAATCCAAATGCTGCTTAACGTTTAAAAAAACAGAATAAATATAAAAAAAACAAATATTGAATTTCAACCCAGCCAATTAAATATTTTTTGGAAATATTTACAGTAAACTGCTTATATTTTCGCAGTTAGTCATGACTAGCATTATATCAATTTCTAACAAGTTATTTCAGAACATCCTTTTCAGTGGTTTGCCCTCCGATTGACGGCGAATATCCGGTATATATTCCTGATGAAGATTGTACGAAGTTTTGGCAATGTTCTAATGGAAAACCGTACCTGCACCCTTGTCCAGATGAATTACACTTCAACCCAACTCTAAATGTCTGCGACCATCCTCAAGATGCGGGTTGCCTTGGAAATAACGAAAACGTAACAACTCAACCACAAGAAACAACAAGACAGCAGAATGAAACCAACCCTTCAACAACTACAAGTAATTCTGGAGTGGAAATAAATTCTACCCAAGATGATAGTTCAGTCATACCTTCTTCAACAATAAAGCCAGGGTCTAGTAGCGCAGAAGCCGGTCAGTTTATAATCTAACAAAACCCAGGATGCAATTATCTTAAAATGAAAAAAAAAATTGAAATAATTCCTTCTTGCTGCAGTTTCAAACAAAAAATGTTCGCGGAAAACCATAATAAGTTTTGTTATTATTACAAAATTGAAACGAAAAAAATTAGAAGGAGACTAATATTAACAACTTTCGTAAATAACTTTAAAATAATAAAAATATTTAAACCGAATCGTATGTATCTAATACATAAACTCATACAGTCAAAATATAAGGAATATATTAAGACCAAAATGATATTTGCTTCTTGGGAACAATAATAACATATTTGGAAAAATTATTTTACCAAGCTCCTAAATCGTGTAGTAGAGTGCCCTCCAGTAGATGGTGAATACCCGACGTACATTCCCGATGAAGATTGCTCAAAGTTTTGGCAGTGTTCTAACGGCAAGCCATATTTGCACGCATGTCCAGACGATTTACATTTTAATCCTACACTCAACGTATGTGATCGGCCAGAAGACGCTGGATGCTCTGAACAAAATGTCTACACGACTACATCTCCTCCCAAGAACGAACCAACTGAGGCCGAGCAGACAACAAAAACAAATTTTGAGACTACCCATACCATTGAAGAGTTAACCACAAATGACCAAGCTACAACTAAGTCGGTCAACCAAGACACAACTCTGTCGGATGAAGAAACAACCACTGAAGCTGGAGTAGAAACAACAAGTCAAATAATTAACTCTACTACTTCAGGTGATGGGTCTACCACAGATGTTGCTTCAGAAAGTTCATCTTCGTCTACCACAGCCAATGCGGGTTTGTATTAAATACACGCATTGAAATTGTTTATTATTATCGTTTAAAATTTGTTTTTTGGTAAACATTTTAAGACATATATAAACTAAGTTGTTTGATATATAGCTATAATTTTCTTATTTTTGCTAGTGGTCTCTACGTCGCAAATACTACAGAATACTTTAGAATTGGAAAACAATTTTTATGTTATTTTGCATTGATAATTATTGTATTACTTTCCGGTTTGTTTGAGTTAATAATTTAGCATTACTCAACGTAACTTAACAGGAAACGGGGAAATATTAAATCTATATTATCTATATTTTTAATTTTAAAAAATGTGTAAAACTTCTATAAATTCTACAAATATTTGCCTGAAATACTCGAAAATAAAATTCATTCTTAACTAAGTTTGCTTCTAGCAACAAATCATATTATATTAACCATCCGAAACTATATTCTAGAACAGGTTTTGATAATTTCATTTTCATTTCACTGCACCATTTTTTTTTTAGTGATATCAAAATAGCAAAAGTTAATTTTCCATCTATCTTTAAAATTGGAATACACCACAAATTACAAAAATCAGAAAAAGTTGAAATTAACTTTTGCATTAATTTTAATTAATAATAGTTTTTCATTAATACAAAAAGAAATCGATTCTATACTTTTTCTACAGTGTATACTTCAAATGCCATATAATCCTATATACTTCAATTCCAGTTGAATGTCCCCCTGTAGACGGCGAATATCCCGTTTATATTCCGCATGAAGACTGTACCAAGTTTTGGCAATGTTCGAACGGGAAACCTTACCTACAAAATTGTACAGATGATCTTCACTTTAATCCGACTCTAAATGTATGCGACTGGCCTCAAGACGCAGGGTGCGTAAGTGGTGAAGCAAACACAAATGCTACGACTTCAAGTCAAACGAAAGTAACGGAGGCTGTTACAACGACCAGCGTCGGAGGCGAGTCCACCACCGAAATTCTTACTACCGACTATTCTACTTCCCCCAACGTAAATGATTTAACTACTACAGAAATCTGGAATATTGAATCCACTACCGAAGAAGCAGTTACTACTGAACTGCTACCTTCACAAACGAATGAAGTAGATGATGAAACAACTACAAATGACGCCCAGACTACAGAGGACATAAACTCCTCAGAAAGCACAGGTGCAGTAAATCAATTTATTTCAAGAAAATAATTATCAAATATTTGTACTAACAGAAAAGTCCACCACAGAAGAAGAACAAACTACAACAGATGTCGAAGACATCAGTACTACAACAGAACTCCCTTATTCAACAACGGAAAATGATTTATTTACAACGGATGCCGAATCTGAATCTGATGTGTCGGAAGAAACTACCAACATAGAACTTACCACAGAACCTTCTATTCCAAACGAACCAGGTAACACTCATTAAATGCATTGTAGAATGTTGGCAAACTATTAAACGAGTGTAATTTGTTATACAGAGTGTCCCGCTGTTGACGGAGACTATCCCACTTACATTCCACATGAAGACTGTTCGAAATTTTGGCAATGCTCCAATGGAGAAGCATATTTACATAACTGTCCTGACGAGTTGCACTTTAATCCGACTCTCAACGTCTGCGATTGGCCTGAAAATGCGGGCTGTACTGGTGGACATATAGAATCCACTCCAGCAGGGAATGACGAGTCGGGTGAAGGTGAAGTGACAACTGAGTCTGCCACAGAAAATCAAACCGAAGTTGAAACTACGAATACAACCACGGAATCACCGATTAGCACTCAAGAAAATAATGACTTTACTACAACAGATGCTGATGTAGAAACCACCACAGAAGATCAGACTACAACAGAAAGTGAAGGTGCGAATACAACCACGGAATCATCGATTACCACTCAAGAAGATGATGAGTTGACTACAACAGATGCTGATCTAGAAAGCACCACAGAAGATCAGACTACAATAGAAAATGAATCTGTGAATACAACGGAATCATCGATTACTACTGAAAATGATAATGAATTGACTAATACAGACGCTGATGTTGAAGTCAATACGCAAAAGAAATCAACGACTGAACTAATAACGACTGAAAATGACGTTAACACTGCTACAAACAATCCGTCGGAAACACCAGGTAACAGAGGAGACTATAATCAAAATATTAACATTTTTTAACATGATAAGACTAATCAACTATTCGATCATTACAAGTGCGGTAAACGGCATTTTAGTCACGAGTTTAGCGCAGCGGGGCGAGTGCTTAATAAACGAGTGACCGTCAAAATAGACAAATGTCAAAATTCAAGTCACACGTAATATCTCCAAAAACTTTCGATTGCTCCCTCGCGAAAATGTTCGAAGTGACTCGGATCCGTGGAAAAAATAAACTCACATGGTAAAGTGATACTTCCCGCACGCTAGAAAGGTGTATAATTAGGTATTTTATAGAAAGGAGTAGAAAAACTTTATTGAGGTTACGAGTCTGACTTGACAGGAGCGGAACGTTTTTCAAATTTCGATCATTTTGACAATTGTTGTCAAGTTTTGTAAAAAGTAAAAAAATATATTCTTTTGGATTTTATTATAGATTTGGTTCTTAAAATAAATAATTTTGTCGACACTTCTCAGAATATATACTTTCTTGAGTATTTGATTTAAAATTATAAAATTAAATAATAATATAAAAATTATAATATTAACTATTTCTTAGACTTGGAAAATCTGTCTGTGATGTATTTCATTGGCATTAATTATTGACAGTATTCTATTTAAACAAAAAATACCAGATATCTCCGCCATTTTTCATAATAGGCACCAAACCATACATGAATGAAAAGTATTCAATATTTTGTTAAAGTATTCATGTGAACCACTTAATATAAACTCGATAATCGAAATTGATGATTAAAAATTGTGGTCCGTTTTCAGTAAAAAATAAATTTCAGCGATTTTTGATATCTTTCAAGATAATATTTTTCCGGTGTTAATTAAATGTATTGTTTTTTGATAATTTGAAGCTAAATCTCGTCGTAAAGACTGCTTTCAATTAATTTGAATCCGTGGTTGTCCAAAATTAGCATATTTCAATATACCAGTTAAAATGATTATAAATAATTCCAAGACGAAATCACCAAAAAATACCTAGGAAAAATAGATATAAAATTTTTATAATTTTATGAAGTCTGTAGGTTTTCATTTTCGTCACTAGACAGGCGCATTTTAAAGAAATCAAATCAATACACGAATAACAAAAAAATATTCTAAGGTTTGATAAAAATATCGTAAATACGCTTTTTTTCACTTCTAATACATTCACTGTTAATAAAAATATGAAGAAAGTGTCTAGTTAGAAATTTTCCGAAAATCCAGTGTCTGGTTTATCACCCTAAATATAGAAAATAATACTTAAAACATTTGCAATACCGCAGCGATACAAAATAAACCTTCAAATACAGAAATCTCGGGTTTTCAGTTTAGCGGGGACTTTTTAAATCAGTGTCTAGTATTCATTTATACACATACTTTTCATTCGTTGTTTATAAAATACTTCTTTTATACTACATACTTTAACATACCCAATTATGCCCTAATAAATTAGCAACCTACTTTTCTAACTATTGCTCTAGATTCATCAGATTCTTATAATATAATATTACGATTCTGTAATGATAATATGAATTAATTATAACTCCTGACTACAAGAAAAACTTATTTTAGAATGTCCTCCAGTTGACGGCGAGTACCCTACGTATATTCCACATGAAGATTGCTCCAAATTTTGGCAATGTTCGAACGGCATACCTTATTTGCATAATTGCTCTACGGGCTTGCATTTCAATCCAGTTCTTAACGTATGCGATAGGCCACAGGATGCGGGATGTGCCTCCGGCGAACGAACTACCGTACCGTATATTACAACTACTGGTGGTAATGTTCAATCTAGCACACAGGAAGACACCACTGAATCAGCTGATACAACTAGCACTGCTGATGCCCAATCGAATAACGAACAAGCTGACTTAACTACCCCGGCAGATATCCAATCGAGTATACAAGATAACACTACAACTGAGGGTGTTGAAAATCAGACGACCACTACGACTGCTGAAGAGACAACTTCGAATATTGTTACGTCTAGTGTCCCCAATGTAACTGATGATGTCCAGCAAAGTACAGATTCTGGTTCGAACAATACCTGCAATAAAGGTAATAAGCAGAGTTTGGAAAACATTCGGCTTGTCAAATTTCAATAATGTTCTCTTTCTTAGTGGCTTGTCCAGCCATTGACGGCGAGTATCCCGTTTATATTCCACACGAGGACTGTACCAAATTTTGTCAGTGTTCAAACGGGGTGCCATATTTATTCGATTGTCCGGGTGATCTACATTTTAATGCGGTTCTGAATGTTTGCGATTGGCCTGAGAACGCCGGGTGTGTCGGACAAGTCCCGAGCTCAACCACCGACGCCTCAGGCTCTGGTAAATATTGATTTCACCGGAAAAACAAAATAAAAAGGGAATTTTAATATTGTAAACTGACTGCAAACCTGAAATCTATTTATTTCTAATTCCAAATTAAATAAATGTTATAGTTTTGGTTAGTTTGAGTTTAAGTGTATATATGTAACTCAGTTTAAATGCCTTTTATCACAAAAAGGTGGGGCGAGTAGCGAGCTGAGTATCTATTGGGTTGCATTTTTTGGGTAGCCATAGCGATGTCCATAGCAAAAGAAAATGTACAATTAACTTGCATTTAACATATGGAGGTAATATAAAAATCATAATAATAGACAATATTTCAATAAATATAAAAAATGGTGAATTATTGCCACATTTCATCATAATCAACCACCTATAGGCTCACTGGTCTCCAGACTAACTAACATTTTAAAATATCCAGGCTTTACAAGTGTGAGTACATCTGTAATAAACCCGGAAGTGTCTCCAATATTCACTTCAACAATTTTCAAAGGTGGGTTACACTAACATCAGACAATGATGAACTAACATTATAACATATAAGCTTAAGGGATTATCCATACCATTTATGAGTATTAGAACGGATGTTTTCGTTAAGTATTTATCATCAGGGGAATAATAAAATATATTAAAAGAACAGTCGTGCACTCAGAATTTTATTGTTGTTGTGTTCACTTTTAGACGTAAATTTTAAGTTTTTCAAATTCGTTTTAAATTTAAACTTGTTTGCACTCGCTAGTGCTTGATAAGGGTACAAAGGTAACAGCTTAATCGCAAAATTAATAAAGTAAAACTGCATGACTTTCTTTCATTTCGATTATATTGGGTATAAACGATATCTGAATGGATAATTTTTTTTTTGTATTTCTTTCCTTACTAACACACTAACCACACTAATTTGCAATAAATAGTAATAACATAGAAACTCTAAACAGTCATAGGAGTCGGAGTTTCTGATACATAATCTAGCCCCTCTCTTAGTGTCTAAGTCACCTCCTCAACGCAAGAAGTAACTATTTTGTAATAATTCCATGTCAGTTAATGATGGTTCAATTTTACTTAATTTGGTGTAAGCCAATTTATACCTTCAAGTATTAAAAGTTAATTTTAAAATAGCCAGTTAATTTGACAACTTTAAAAATCCAAAAATTTTGAGAGAAATTCTACGGTTGTCAAATATTGATACAAATTTATGCCATACATCACTTTTTGTAGCAAATTACTTTCGATTAGTTATTCTTTTCTTACAGCACAATTAGTAAGCTAGCTTACTTTTTAAATTTTTGATCGAATGCTGTAACATAAACTCTTCCACTTGAAAACAACCACTTCCACTTTTAAATGGAATCTTCTACTTGCGACACTAATATTTTTTCGTAAACTGTTTACAGAATTGTTGCCTCCCTATAATCTGGAGGGGTTGAATCAGGTATTAATTAAATGGAACAGCGTAGCCCGTTGGATTCTGAAGAAATTTCCGTCAAACTAGTAGGCTATTTTGTTTTAATTTTAGCTTCCACGCTGTACAAAGCTTTTGAGCTATTTTTTATTGATTTATTTCTTGCTTACTTATCGCTTTTCTATTGGGAGAGTCTACATTGTTAGCAAAGATATTATTAACTATAGTGCCACAATAAATAAATATAATTTCGTGGAAGCACAAAAGTTACGAAGACAAACACGGCCTAACATACTTTCATATTTTTTTGCACTAAAATTTTTCTTCATTTAAGCTTTTCTGTGTAAAATATTAATAAATGCCTACAATTTCATGCAACCAACTATTGAATATTCTTTTTAATTAATGTTCGTTCTTTCATAGAAACAAGCACTCAATCACAAACGACATTAAAACCAACAACGACAACCAAAGAGGAACCGACCAATCAACCAACATCATCCCTAACGGAGTCGATCGCTTCGTCAACGCTGAAACCATCAGCAACAACCACCAGAGAATCACCAACCAACGAACCACCATCACCAAGCACAACTCCACAAGCCACATCGTCCGTAACAGAATCAATCGCTCCGACAACTCCAAAACCATCGACAACCACAACCAGAGAATCCACAACCAACCAACCAACATCACCAGGCACAACTCCCCAACCTGCACCGACCGTAACAGAATCAATCGCTCCGACAACTCAAAAACCATCAACAACGACAACCACGGAATTGACAACCAACAAACCAACATCACCCAGTACAACTCCACAACCAACACCGTCCGTAACGGAATCAATCGCTCCGCCAACCGAGAATCCAACAACCACTGAACCATCTGATCCATCTGATGTGAGTTACGTCTGCAAAGGGAAACCGACCGACTTTTTCTTGAGCCCTCATCCCACTGATTGCGGATTATACATTGCATGCGACCACGGTAAATCAGATGTGATGCCGTGCCCCGCAGGATTACACTTCAGTCCTACAATATACAATTGCATAAGGCCAGAGGAGGCAGGATGTACAGTGGCTAATTAAACGATTGGTATTGTTATTACGGACTAGTTAGTAAATAAAACGTCCTTCGTACTCATAGTTTTTATTTTATAACTTGCAATTTCGCAGTTTTTTAAGACTATATCCTTTATAAACTGTTGAATTTATATTTATTGCCAAAATAAATTATTGTCTTTCGTATATTGTTGAGGAGTTTTTAAATTTGAGTAAGAGTAAGCAAAATTTCCTTTCAAAATGTGTAGCGGACGTTATCCGGTAGAATACATCACACCACATTTTCTAAAGCCATTTCGTTAATTTTTTTTTCAGTTTAATAAAGGTGCCTTTTTTTTCTCAATATTCGGCAACAACTTGATCCAATTCTAGTTAGTGGTTGCGAACGATAGAAAAAAAGTGAAATATAAAAGTTTTAATATAATTTTATAGTTTTATTACAATTTTTCAAATATGTAGGCTGTTCCGTTAATCTGGGATAAATATTTGCAAATGCAATAACTCTTTTCTCATGACTCATAACTCATAATATGAAAGTGCCTTCTTAGACAGCAGTATCCTATTAGAATTTCTATAAGTGTTCGTAGTCGCGCAACGGAGGCTAAGAGCCCAGTGTAAATCTTGAGGCGTAGAGGGTTCAGCAATTAGAATCATTGACTACCTCAGTCCTGGTACACTCTTTCAGTGCAGAGCGAACTGCCTGCGGAGCCATTTATTCAGCACTTACGGAAACCTTCGGCCCGAGATACGGTATTGCTCCCACGTCCCGACTCGTCCTTTGCAGAAATCCTCGCTCTGTATAGAAGCATAAGCAATCCTATCGAGGGCATCTTGGTTTCCACATGAGACAAATGGAAGCTTTTGGTGCCTCCATCGAAGCAGTTGGCATAATTTGCAAACAGCCTGTCACCATTATGCAGCCCAACCTTTGTACTCGCCCTAGAGCTGCCTTGACACAGAGATTTCTGACCTCTGTGTGCTCGCCATACAGTACCTAGTACAATTTTATTTAATCTCCACATTTGGGTTTGAAAACCTTAGTACCCAGTACAAGTTTATTTAATCTCCACATTTGGGTTTGAAAACCTTAGTACCTAGTACAAGTTTATTTAATCTCCACATTTGGGTTTGAAAACCTTAGTAATTCGTCACGGTTTCAAATTATCCACAAGTACTACAACAGTACCTGCTAAGACAGAACTGCTATAATTTTCTGAGCACATATTTATTTGCATCAACGTGTGCAAATATTGCCGATGCCATCTCTTCCAGAATTCTTGGTGCAGAGGAATCAGAAGTTGGTATCTGGATAAACGTTGCATATTAAGATGCGTCACATCGAAATCAGGCAATACGGTCAGTGGTTCCAAAGTCAGAAAATCTTCGGGTGACAAAACAGATGGATCATTTGGATCCGAGCTAAGCGAGCAGAGGGGCAGATTTAGGAAGTGCTTCAATCTGGGTGAAGACAGTAGCAAGCTCTTCAAAAGTGAGCTTCTGGTTATCGACAAGTCTTACCAGATGATGTTTGGCGTCTTTTTAACGAAATTAGTGCCACAGTCACTGAAGATTTTAGAACTTCGACCTCGCCTTGCGAGAGATCTTTGCAAACAAGATAAGAATGTCTCAGTGGTTAAATCAGAGACAAGCTCCAGGTAAACTGCCTTGCTAGCAAAACAAACAAAGATGAAGAGGTAAGCCTTTGAAGAAGTTTACCTGAGGTTATGTAAAATGGACCACCAAAATCAATTTCCACGCATGAAAACGGTTTCAGCTGGCTAATCCGAAAAACGGATAAATTTCCCACCAAAGGCTGAAATGGAACATCAAGAGATTACCGACCGAATAGCTTCTCTTGGATCTAAATAACCAGAAATTTTGTCGAATCAAATATTGTAATGTCTGCAAACCTGGGTGGCCATATTGTCAATGAGTTAATTCTATTACTAGTGAAGTGAGACGGTTATTTCTACGTAGAAGTATAGGGTACTTCTCTCTAAAGGAAAGTGTCGAATTAACTAGTCTTCCTCCCACTCTAATCAAACTCTCATCTACCAGAAACGGAATTAACCTGCTCAAAGATTTAAGGAGACGTGACATGTGATTGCATTACTAAAGTGATGTTGCTGACAGTACTTAATTAAAATCATCATGAAGTTACAAATTTCCGATTTGACAAGGAAATGCCATGATCTAGGACATTCAAGTCTGTGCTTGTGCAGAAATCCCAAGCAGGCCACGGTTCCTTGGATTTTCTTAAGCAACGGAACTAAGACATTCTGGTTCGCAGTTGTATCGTCCGCAAGTTCCTCAGGGAAAGGCTTACCGATAAGAGTAAAAGGTCACTGTTTTGAATATAGAAGCTACGAAGGCCCATTCCACCAAAGAAGGAACAAGTTCTAAAGGTACCGAAGCTTCATCGGCAAGGTTATCTATAGACCGAACAGGAAACCACCTGTCAGGAGCCAGTTTTCTTTGAATAGAACTCACAAATGTTGCTCAGAAATATCTTCAAGGTATGAGTGTGCGAAAGTGCAACAGAAGAGTCAATCTAGGCATAAATATTTTGACACTCAATCTTTGGAGAAAGCATTTCCCAGACTAAGTTGAGCAAATTCGGCAATTCCAATGTCGACAGAGAAATTTTCTTTAGCGCAAACCAAAGAAAATTTGTATATCCTATCCGAAGTTAGATGTCTTATATAAATAAAAGCTATCACAATTTCCCATCAAATCATACCTCGAACTGAACGCAAAATCGACAATTTTAAGAATTTTTAATCCTGATAGAGCAGTAAGTTCAGCTTTGAATTTCGATCAAAAAACTTAAACATCTCGTGGTGGTTCTTCATCCCAATCAATTTAAGGAACCAAATATGTAGGATTGTATATTTTAAGAGAAAACCTACCGTAGCTAAAATGGGTCGACGATTCTTGCTAATTCCGATAGGATCACTCTTTGAGAGCAAGCCCTGTCCTCGATTTCGACGTTGTATATAAATATATCTGCGACAGGATTTCATCTTAACCCTGAGATTTTGATACCCGTCTGCTCGCTACTGAAATATAAGGCCTTCTGATGACAAAGCTCCACAGGAATGTATTCTAAAAAAATGTGAATGTGAATGTGAAATGTGAAAAAATGTGAACCCCCACCCCCCTCTTTTAAGGACCTCAATCAGTTCCAATTCCAAGTGTAGAGCACCTTCTAAAGGGGAAGCACCAGTGCAAACTTTATCGATATAAATGTTAGTCCCCAGGACCTTACAAGCTTCGGAAAAGTTTAATTTTTTGCCCTTGGCTAATTCAAGTGTTGATGAACCCACAGAACGGAGTTGAAGATTGACATAATGGCTCTAATAGTTTACAAAGAAGATACCGGGAAGGATAATTCTCAGAAAAACATCCGCACCTGGTAAAATGTCAATTGCTGCAGGTATAGTGAACTGAGGATCAGCTATATTAATATTCCGAGATGGAGGTACAGCTTCTTTACAAATGTATGTTCCAGATATAGCAGACGAAATCATATCAACCACCACAAAATCCACCTCTATGAAATGTATGTCTTGAATAGACGATAGAACTAAGCGAGTTATTGTGCGAGTGGCTCTTATAGATAAATCTTCGAGGCCGTGAATGGAGCGATCTCTATGCACGAACTTAACACGCATAATATTAGGCCATCTTGCAGTGGCCCTGGCTTCCACCAACTAGTATAGCTCTAAGGGCATGAAAGCTCCAATGCCTACGCTCTACCTCTACTAAAGCAGTAGATAAAAATACAGTTCGACCAATATTTTTTGAAAATAACGAACGAGACGCACCGACAAAACCAACGGTTGGAACCGAATTGCTGACATAATTCAAATTACTTGGAATTTGACTGTTCTGACTACCGTTTGTAGGTCTAGCCTTTACATAGTGCAACATTGAATTGTGCTTAGCTTGGCAAATACTCCATTAGGATTTCGACTGACATTTCGATGACAGATGGGATTTGAGGTGTTTTTTTTTTCATGAATGCTGGACATTCTAGCAGAAGGTGCTTGGCCGAGCAAAGCGGGCAGGCGCTTGCCTCGCTGGAAATTAAGTAATATGCTGAGTTGGATTTCGAAGAGAAAGAATGTTTATTTTGATGCTTAGTATTGTATTTGGAATGAAAAGGACTAAACGAACCCGGAGTCTGAGAATATGACTGAGTTTGATTTAAGTTTCGAGTTGCCGCGTTCTTTGAAACTAAATCGTGGTAAACCGTTTTTGCCGATTAAACAGGTTCGTCAAAAGTCTTCAAGACAGTGGACTCAATTTGAAAGATTGAACCTTCGCTGGATGTCAATATTTCAACTATGGAATCGTGAACTCCGTTAAACTTCCCTGATCTCTCTTAAAAACTAGTATGACTAGTATAACTACATTTTTCGAGTCCAATACAGCGGCTTGTGCTGCTGCCTTCAAGGAATAAAATTTCTAATTAATCTAAAAATTGTATTGGAATCAAAAAGCAGTAGTAAGAATTGGACCGCATCTCAGCGAGGATATGAAGATCAAGAGGGGGGTGCGTCAAGGATGCATTCTGTCGCCTTTGTTGTTCAACCTGTATTCTGAAGAAATTTTTGACGAGGCCATGAGCGACGATATGCCAGGAGTGATCATAAATGATAAAACTGTTAATAACATCAGATACGCCGATGACACTTTAATCATTGCAAATACCAACGAAGATCTGGAATTGATGATGAATCAGATGCTCAGTACGGACTTAAACTAAATGTTAATAAAACTAAATATATGATCATTAGTAAACATGCCTCATATAAGGATGATGGCATATATGTGGAAGGTGCACCTCTGGATCGAGTTGGGAGGTTGACGTACTTGGGCAGTAACGTCAACGATAAATGGGACCCATCTAATGAAATTAAAATTAGAATAGAAAAAGCAAGAGCAGCATTCGTAAAAATGAAAAAAGTTCTCTGTAACCATAATCTAACATTGAAACTGCGAATGAAAATGGTTAAATGTTACGTACTTCCGGTTCTCCTTTATGGGATGGAGTCATGGACACTCACTGACGCGACCATCAAGCGTCTAGAGGCGTTCGAAATGTGGATGTACCGTCGTCTACTCAAGATCAGCTGGGTGGATAGAGTGAATAACGCAGTAGTACTAGAGCGAATGAACAAACATCCAGAGATAATTTTAACCATAAAGCAGCGTAAGCTAGAATACTTTGGACATATTATGCGTCACCCTGAGAAGTATGCCA